TACCCCCTTTGCTTCCACCGCCGCCTCTTTTCCTGCGCCTGCTGGGAGCATCCGATGGCCAGCGTAGAGAAAAAACGCCTTTCTCCAAGGGATCCGGCTTGTGCCGTCTACCCAGGGAGACAGAGTAGCTTCTGATGGCAGCACTGGTGGCCACAGCATGGCAGACACAGTGGGAGGTGGATCTCGGTGTGCTCCAGAGACATGGCACCACAGCCAGCAGGATGCACTTGGTGCCCGAGCTGCCAGCTCTCCCTGCCCACAGGTCATCGCAGGCAGCTGCCAGTCCTGCTCTGGGGGCTTTTTTGGTGATCTCGCCAAGCTGGTGTTCGACTGAGGACCTTGGGGTTGGAGCTTGTCTGGCATCCACAGGGGACGTGTGCCTGCTGCCGTGTAAGAGCAGCTAGAGCGGTGCTATGGCTCTGTCTTCTAGCACCGAATGGGGAGCAGTTTGGGGTGAGGAAGGCAACGTTCATCCCAGAAGCTGCTCGGTCACAGAGCTTTTGCCTAGCAGCCTCTTCCGTCCCCTCTCACCTTCCTGCCTGACCCTGGGGGCAGATGTAGGGAGAGGGAAGCATCTGGGGTGGCCCCTCAAGGACGTTCCCCAATCCCCCTGCCCTGCCTCTGAAGCATCACATTTCCCGCAGCCAGGAGGGGTGCGGGGAGCCTTTCCCCCTTTCCCCTCACCAGCGGGGCTGCCCTCGCTGCCGAGCCAGCCTGCTCCCAGTGGGCCCCCGGCCCGGCGCAGCCCAGCGCTGGCTAATGGCCTCTCTGAAAGCCGATGGGTTTCCAGCACAGGAAAGCAGCGTGACTGCGGAGGGCGAGAGGCCCCTCTCTGCCATATGGTTCCCATTAGCAGCCCTGTGAAGTGTATGTTTACTGCTGGGATCACTGTATCATTGCAAGGGGCTTTCCCAAAGGCAAAGCACGGCATGGGGGATCCGGGCCCCTTCCTCCTCCATCCTGGGAGGACGCGGAGTATCCCCAGCAGCACAGCGAGGCATGGGCAGGGGCTCAACACCTTGGAGAGGCTGTCAGGCCTCTTCCCCAGGAAATCAGAAGGTGATTGCTGTGGGGACTGATGTCCCCAAGATCACGTGCAGGATTAGTGCAGCCTACACACCCGGGACAGCCGCTGACCCTCCAGCTCCATGGCCAGCTCAGCCCATGGTCTCTCTCAGCAGGATTGCGTGGGGAGGAGGTGAAGAGGGGCTGGAAGAGCCTGTCTGCTGAGCCTGGGAATCACCCAGCTCACTGCCCAGCTGGCCCCTGCTTCTGCAGCCTTGGGGCCTCGCGGCCAATCCACAGCATGAAACAAAGCATGATGCAGAGTCGGCATCAAACAGGCCAGCGCCAGAACCGGGCACAGCACTGCCGGCAAGGGGGGACAGTGACCCCAGTGCTGCTTCAGCTTCTCAAGCGTGGAAAGAAACAGCGAGCCGCAGTTTGGCGGGGATGATGGAGCAAGCCTGGTGGTCATGGCTCCAGCTTTAGCCATGGAAGACCCTAATTCAGCTTCAGATCTTGGCTCCTTGTGTGGCTTCAAGCCAACCACTCAACCTCACCGGTATTTGGGACCCAGGGCAGGTCCCTGCTGGCTTAACACAGGGTGGAGGGCTCCAGGGAGCAGCAGCTGGGCCACTGCTGTGGACACCACTACCCTGCTCATCAGGTTTCTGGAGAGCAGCCCCACCACATGGACCTGCCCCTGCCCACAGCCCACGGCATGGAGCTACCTTCCACCAGCCTGCCCCACTAATCTGCTTTCCATCCACGTTCTGCGCCCGGGCTGCCTCTTGAAAGGCTGCCAGTGGGCAGAAAATCTGCAGCCGAAATCCTGAGGGATGCTGACAAGGAATAGTTGTGGGGAGGAACAGGGCTGCCTTTGTCAGGGCAACAATGGAGGACCCGCATGAGCGAGGAGGGAGCCTGAGGGAAGCCCCTGCCCACCCGCTCTGCTCTCCCACCTTCGTCCCTGCCTTGGCTCACCTCCCCTGAGGAGGAGGAGCACGGCCCTGGAAGGATCAGGGGCGAGGGGGACCAGGCTGGTTCCCAGCCCCTGCCTCT